GTTGGGAACGACTAGCACATATGTGTGAGGGGAACCTTTAGCTTTTTGGACCAACAGCTCTATAGTTTCTGCTTTGAAATGGTGCAGCTCTTTGTCCCTCTTCACTGTAATAATACGTTAAGTATTTCTGAAGAGCCTAATGCTGAAATGCTTCTGGTTTTTTCCCCCCACCACTAGTCATCTACATGGCTTACTCTATTCACGTCCTCATTTCATTTCAACAGCCACCAACTTTGATGGATTACTCTGATGGGAGCTCTATACCGCTTGGTCTCTAAATCCTTTATTTTTTAAGACATAGACATAAAATTGCTTTGTGGTGAGGGACACTCAAAGCAAATTTGTAAGAAAACCAAATTCCTGACCTCGGGTTACATTAGTGCTCTGAAACAGTAGGATTTAAATATATCTTTCTTTATTATTTATATATCCAATGGTTATATATTAAAGGGACTTGATTATTACTAGTCAACTGAGAGCGTAAGGGCATTTCCACATCATTTTCACTTCCCAATGGTTCACAATGTAGCTCATCTCCCTTTTTGCTTTTCTCAAATCAGTGCTGACGAATAGGAATGCACCAAAAATATCAATTCATCTACTTTCGACACTAGTTATTTCTAGCCAGAGCACTGAAAAGATGGCCTTTTAATGCATTTTAGCTAGACTAAAGCTCACCATTTAGCTTTTCTACTTAGAATCTTCATGTGAAATTGGGCTAAGAGCAGGAGTGGTATTCACTTACTTTCCCGACTGGTTTGCAAATGTGAGCACGCACGCACCCTGTCCACGCATCAGCATGGCCTTCTACGCATGTGCTTTGATAGCACATACAGCTTGCATTCATGCACGTGGATTGCAAATGTGCCTAAATAGGAGAGCATAGAGGGGTGGGGGCAGGCTCATCCACGATTTCCACTACCGGTTCGGGCAAACTGGTCCGAACTGGCTGAATACCACTAGCTAAGAGGTAGACTTGATCAAAATCACCAAAGTAAAGAAATGTGAACCTTGCTCTCTCAGCAAAAATTGACTACATCATGCATTTGTGTTTACATATGCTTGGAAAACTATTATGTACATTTGAGGAAGCATAGAACATGTGAATTGTGGGCAGTTCTTGGGAACGGCTGTCTTGGGTTGCAAGAATTACGGACCATAGGAAAAGGATGCAAAGGCCTCTAGGTGGTTGTGGGAGCAAATTAGAGGCGTGAAACAAAAGGTATATGTAGCTGGCAGGGCCGGATTTTTCTATAGGCTAACTAGGCTTCAGCCTAGGGCCTCAAGATCAAGAGGGGCCTACATTCAAAT